TTAATAGAAAATAACATCAGGTTGCAAGATTGTATGCCTAAATGTTTTCCGCCTACCTTTGGGCTTGATTTTAATATTGTTGAGGAGAGAAAGTGTTATAATATACCTTTAAACAGTTAGTACTTCATGTTTACCTCTACTTCTCCTGAGTAACATATAAAAAGTCGTGGAAATGGATTTTACGTACTTTATTTACCAAACTTTGTTTGATCATGGAAGTATAATACTTCCATGGTTTGATCAACAGACTTTTCTATACGCTGCTGTTTTTTTTTTTTCATTTTACTGCTGTCGGGCAGTCGTAATTCCAATTCTAATATATGGGCCATTTACAAATAGTCTTCCAAACGAATCACAATACTGGTATACCATTATAATGTAACCTTTCAAACCTCTACTGAAATTCATGCACAGTATCACAGCTTTATATTAGTACTTTTAGGGTTTAATGAAATTATGGTCCATTCAATACATATTACAAAATGCTAAATACCGTTAGATAGCTTCGAACTGCTTTTTTGATAAATCAAGTCTATCCATAGGATTTATAAAAAAAAAGTTTTAAGATATTAAATATATCAAAACTGTATTTGAACTAAGGTTCAGATATAAAGTAATTCACTTCTTTTAAGATTTTTTCACAGCCTTTTATTTTAATGGTTACAATTTTTTAAGTATTCTACAAAGAGTCTTTGTATAATAAATATCAAAATTCCATTACAATTGAAAAACTTTTCGATTGACCGTTAGAATGAAACAAATACAGAGAAAATTGGCCATACCTCTTTGACCTTCATGAAATGGCATTTTAATTCCTAACTAGACAGGTATGAACCTTTGGGTATAGTAATTTTAGACAGAACTGATTTCTGATCTACTTTAATTAAGAGTTCATTATTCCCAAAGAGATTTTCTATTTCTCAAAACTCTTAAAATTTATTTCATTTTGAATCTTTAGCGTATGTATTTGCTTGCGCTTTTTTGTAAGTAGTTCGATCTACTAGACTATAAAAGGTTGTTCTCCCGCCTTTTTCATTTTTCGAGATTAATTCACACTTAATAACCAGTTCGACAATGTAAAACAGTGACGATGAAGTCCAGCATGATTCTCCCGCTAGTCACCAGTCGGGGGGTCATTTCACAGCTAAACCTAAAGAACAGTAACCAAGTCAAAGTTTTATCCAGCTGATGCTTTATCTCTATTCTCACAGAAATAAGACAGCCCCTTGGTAAAGCACAAGCAGTCAATAATTGCTGAAACAGAAGAAAAGGTAACCTTCTACCGTCCTTCAAGACCTTCTCACACGTCCAGTCCTAAGTTCAAGTTTGAAGGAAACGGCAGACAGCATGAATTCAATTCGTCCCGTCAGGAAGAGATTGACAGAGCATTGTCTTTATTGGAGAGAGGTGCGTACGGTTCGGTTAAGAAATTGCTCCAGCAGAGTCAGAAGGAATTACGACAAAACTGAGACAAGCTGAGTATCGGACAAAGATAAAGAGAAGAGAAAAGGCGAGGAAAAGCAACAGAGATAGTCCTTATCATAAACCAACAGCAGTGAACGAGCTTTTTCGTGGGCCTGGCCCAGCACGTACAGAAGAACCACCTAGGTATAAGAATCAACCACCAAAGCAGGTCTACACCCAGCAGAGGATATTGAAGGAAAAAAGGAAACTATGTGCTATTACTGCAACGGAGAGGGTCATTTCGCTTACAACTGCCCCATTAAGGTCAAACTGCCAACCTCAACAAGACATCAGTCAGCATAATAATAGAGTTTTAAAGTACACATTTTTTTTCATTTGATAAAAATTATGAATATAAAAATTCCGGTCTGCAAATTGATTCATCATTTTATGTCGTTAGTTTAAAGAAACATTATGCCTTTTGGAAATGCGTTTTGAAAACTCACAGTTTTGTTTTAAATGTTATTTCTAGTGGTTATTTAATTCCGTTTTTTAACAGTCCGTCTGCAGTGTATTTGAAGAATAATCATTCTGCTTGTTCGCACGCTTTATTTGTCGAACACGCCATTAACAAGCCGCTTGACAATGGGGCTGTTTTGGAATTAAAAGATCAAATTCCTTTCCGATGATTGTCAACCCTTCAACTGCTTCAGTTAATGCTTCAGGTAAAGAGCGCTTAATTCTTGACCTTCGACATGTCAATGAGTTTGTTGATAAACAAAAGTTTAAATTTGAAGGTGTGTTTGAAGCTTTGCAATTTAAGATAGAACATGGATTGATGTTAAAATTCGATTTAACCAGGGACAGTCTATACTATAGAAAGTCTCTGATTTAACCTAAGGATATCATCATATAGAAATACACAAAGGTCACCAAAAATATTTGGGATTTGCATGGAAATTCGGTAGTTAGTAAAACATTTTGTTTTTCGTGCACTACCTTTCGGTTTATCCAGCGCAGGGCATGGTTTTTTTTCAAAAGTTCTAAGGCCGTTAGTGAAACATTGGCGTTCGCAAGGCCAGAGGGTAATAATGTATTTAGATGACGGCTGGGGCATTCATTCAGATTTCGAGTCTTCAAAACTGCTAGCTTCTCAAGTTAGGAAAGATCTTTTATCAGTAGGTTTTTACATTAACAAAGACAAGAGCGTATGGGAAATATGCAAACAATTATTTTTTTTCTTTTGCAGAAATTTTAATTTTTCGCATTGGCAACACTGAAAAACTTAAGAAAATCGTTTGCATTCAATTGCAGAAGCTAGTTAAAGCATGTCAACAACAAAAATTTACACTTATACCTTCAAGAGATTCCGAGTTTGGTGTAAATAAAGGCAACAGTAGTATACCGCTGTTCGAAACTCATAAATCTATAGAGATAAAAACAAATCCGGGTTACAAACTGAAACTGAGGGAAACGCATCAAATATAAGAGGAGAACAACGACACAACAAAAACACAACATTAAAAATGTAACACACACAGAAACGAACTATAATATAACAATGGCCATTTTCCTGACTTGGTACAGGACATTTTAAGAAAAAAATGGTGGGTTGAACCTGGTTTTGTGGCATGCCAAACCTCCAGCTTTAATGGCAACATCAAACACAACACCAAAACGACAACATCACATGACAGGACCACAATACAAATAAATGGGAGAACATATAGGACAAAGAAACACACGAATAATAGCTAACAAAAGGTACTAGGCTTATAATTCAATACGCCAGACGTGCGTCTCGTCCACACAAGACCATCCAGTCCAGTAAAAGTTACGATCTAGTAGCATTACCAGCTTCGGTTACTACAGTTGCTATATATTTGTCGTATTTGATTCAGAAAGAAGTTTCTAAGTCCGTTTTTCTTAACGGTTTCTATGCTATAAAATGGGAACATGAACTCAATCTTTATAGTGGTTTTTTCCGAGCCTTTCCTACAGTTGATTATTGAAGGCGGCGTAAAATTTTTATCAAAACCAGTGAATAAAAAACAGCCAATTACTGCTGAAATTTTGAAATCTGTTATAGACAAGTATGGCGTTGGTCACGATTTGAAAAAAAAATGAGAGTTTGCTGTCTAATGTTATTAGGTTACGCAGGCTTTTTAAGATATAATGAACTCGCCAATATAAAAGCTACGAATCTAAAGCTATTTCGATCACATTTAGAAATTTATATAGAAAGTAGCAAAACTGACGTTTACAGACAGGGTAGTACTATAGTGATAACAAGAATTCACAATAAGACATGTCCGGTCGTTATGTTAGAGCGTTATTTGCAAGAAGCCGACATATCTACCGATTCAGATCAGTACATTTATAGATCAGTTAGCTACAGAAAGTCTTCTAAAACATACACATTATGCAAAAAGAACAAATCTTTATCATATACACGTGCTAGAGAAACATTGTTTAAAGTCTTATCAGATTTGGGGTTCAATACTAAACAATTTGGTTTGCACAGTTTGAGAAGCGGCGGTGCATCTTTAGCTGCACACAATCGCGTATCTGAAAGGCTATTAAAATCTCATGGTCGATGGAAATCTGATTTAGCTAAAGACGGATACATGAAAGAAAATATGAAGAACAGATTACTGGTCTCAAATTGTCTCAACCTTTAACAATTGTTTACATATCCTTTGTTATCGAACTGGTTGGTGTGCCATCTCAATCCTTTAGATTTGTTTTTTATTTATTATAGAGAAATTAGAAATGTTTTGTATTCGTATGAACGATGTGAAGTAGAATGTAAATTTATTTCATTTTGAAACTTTAGCTTATGTATTTGCTTGCGCTTTTTTTTTGTAAGTAGTTCGGTCTACTCGACTATAAAAGGTTGTTTTCCGCCTTTTTCATTTATCGAGATTAATTCACACTTAAAAACCAGTTCAACAGGTACATTATCGAAACAATTTGCATGTATTAACATGATACCAATTTTTCTAACATTTTGTTTTTTATTTTGTAGATGCATGTTACTGTTCATTGAGGAAGTCAAACGTTTTGGACTCTATTGAAATTCAATGTCAAATATTATATAATTAAAACTGGTTGGTGTGCCATCTCAATCCTTTAGATTTGTTTGTTATTTATTATAGAGAAATTAGAAATGTTTTATATTCGTATGAACGAAGTGAAGTAGAATATAATTGTGTAGATCTTTTCTTTTGTTCCATTTACTTAAGGATCTTGTAGTACAGCATTTCTATACTGATTTTGATACTTGCAAGTACACCCTAACTTAAAGTTAGGGTTTCTTTTCTCTTTTTACTATTCCAATAGTTAAGCTTTTTTGTTTAAAAGGCTTTGCTTGGACTCTTCTTACATGTCTTGTTCATGGTGAAGTAGCAGCAAACAACTGTTCTAATGCCTTTCATTTCCCACAGACGCAGATAGAAACTTGCTACCTGCTACACTCAAGGCAAACAACTATTTTATTGTCATTGGTTCCCAAAGATACTATTCGAAACTTGCTACCTGTCTGCTCAAGGCAAACATACTACCATAAAAATTACTCAGGCAGAAAGAAAACGATATTTTATGTAATAATGATTTACTGTAACAACCATATTGTCTATAGCACAATCTTACTAATGCATTTCTGTTATTACATGAAAATGTGATATAAAAATATTCAAATGACAGAGATCTTAAATGCTGCAAATCAAAATTAAAATTGCATAGCTCCTTTTATATGAACAAAACAATCGCCTTTCAATATAATTTTTTGTAAAATAATATTGGAAAATATTCATGAACTGTTAACAAAGTGGATATATATAAAATTTGTAAACATTGATATGTAAATCATACAACCATACTGTACATGTCCTTTGGATATCTTTCTCATAAAAGGTCTACAGTAAAAACACTCTTAACCTTTTCAATATTTACAGGTCATATCAATCATCAATTTTCAAAAACTAATTTTCAAATCATATATTGTTCAGGTGAAATAGCTTGATGCAGGTGGCTTAAGCCAAAATTTACTTGCTAGTTCCCCATGGTAATTCTTATAAAAATGATCTAGCTCCCTATAGAATTTAAATCTTTACAGTTTTCTGTTGCAAAAAAAAAATATGTACTGGTATTTACCTCTTCCAAATGAAACATTTCTTTTCAGTTGAATTACTGAAGCAACATTTATCTAACTTGCATTAATCATAAAGCTGGTTTGAAAATGCTGGTCTGCAGAAAAAGAAGAATACCCAACAATACTAAAAGACAGTAAAATACAGTTAAAGGTTAATATATAGTTCAACAGTAGATAAGTGTCTAAAAAAAACCCCAGCAACTCATTTTACAAAAAATCTCACATGAAAAAAATACTTGTAAGTCATGATCATTTCAGCATAACTCAAAAGTGTTTCTTTTTTTTTCGTAGGATTTTTTTTGAAATGATTTCCAAGACTAAAAGTATATTTACCTGAAAATTCTTCAAAATGACAAAAAAGACATGTTTTTATAATCTGAAATATTCTTGCACTTATAACACAAGATGTGGATAGACATCTACTGCTATAATGTTTACCCTTGAATGTACAAGCAAAATGCAATATGGCACAATAAAAAAAAAAATCGATTCAATTTGATTGAAATTTTAAAAAGAAAGTTGAAATTAAGATTGAAAGGGACAAGATTATGCTTATTCATGTGAAATAAAAAGAAATCCTAATTTATACAGACTCAAGACTAATCCTCTTTAAATCAATTCAGTATAGAGAACTGTGGTGTTTCCATAGGAAACATAATTGGCACAAGTTAACAATCTTTCAAAACACAGAGTAGTCCTCTTGACGTTTTAAGTACTTTTACAAAAATCTGTATACTAAACTTTTTCTGCATTTCTCACCTGGTAACATAAACCAATAACAGAACAACAGTTACAACTCAGGTGTGGAACATTGTCCAATATAAACAGGATCCTATAAATCATCATTTATCTACATAAGTCAATGATCTATCAAAGAAAAGTCTAAAGAGCTACACATAAAATTAATAATTAAGTTAGTACTTTTGAACTAAGTATGGCACTCTTTGAACACACCTCTAAAAATGAGTATCGGTGAACAAAATAAATGTATTATATGCAAGATATAAAAATAAAGAGTATTTTGCATTTCTGGGTATGTAAAGTGTTATACAATGAGTATCACAAATTGTTTTTTTTTAATATTTAGCCTCAAAAAAACATTATGAGTATCCTTTTTAAATATTTGAGATTCTTGATACAACAACTATTAACATTAAGAGAGTTCCTAAAAGATTGCATTAAAAAACTCAATAAAATTTTTTAAAATGTACAGGTATGAAAAATAACTAACTTTTCATTAATCTTATACTGTTTTAAAATAAGTCAATGTGTGATAACAATTTCATGTTGGAAATTCTGCAACTGCAAAATTTTCTACTCATATGTTAAAAAAATGAGTTCATAATGTCTTATCCATGGAGTTCATAGTGTCTTATCCATGAAATTTATTTAAAGTCACAAGTTGTCAGTATTAAACAGATTATTAACTACTGGTAATATAAGTATTAAGATGAAAGGAATGCGATGATTTTCATCTATTCATAGCCTGTTTTGGTTCTGTAGTGAGAAGCATGTTCTGTAGTTGTATACTACTATGGAAAGCAACAGATCAGAATTTGAGCAAACATACTGAATAAGGACAAACTTATACAAGTAATCGTATAGAACTACCAGAAAACAACAAACTGAAATACTGCTTTAACATATTTTGATGTGATATTTACCTTGTGCATGATAAGCTCAAATGACTTTTTATGATCTCAAACATCTAGCTAAAATTAGCACCAAGATCGATATGCAGTCTGATGCTAGTTTTCCAAGTAATAATTACTGTTTGAAAAAATGAATTAAAAAAATGAATTAAAAATGTCAACATCACTTGGCCTGTCAGGTTTTTTTCTATTATTCAAAAATAGACTGTCACATGACCACCATGTGATCTGTAGCCAGTTCATTCTAACAAGTCACATCTAAATCCTGAATTTTTCTGAAAGGGTTATTTCTATTAATAAATAAACTGTTGACACAGAGATATGTCTTGCTTGTATGAAATTTTGATAGTAAAATACAAGCACTGAAATTAAAATGGCAATACTTTAACATGTAAACTATGCAAAACATTCAAAGTCAATGAACCGTGACTTAGGGTGCATGGCAAAATAATCTTTCTGGAAATGAGACATGCTAAGGCTAATACAACTGCATGCCAAATATCATTGAGTTAACATTAGTGATTCATCTCAAACTGACCTAACTAGTCACAAACTTTTAACAAGTAAACTATGCAAAAGTTTCAAAGTCAATAGACCATGACTGAGTGAGCAGAGCCATATAATCTCCATGGATATGAGATGTGCTAATGCTAATACAACTGAATACCAAAATACTATTAACTCATCATAAGTGGTTTGCATTAAACTTGTAAACTATCCTCAAGTTCCAAAGTCAATTAACCATGGTTGAAGGGGCAGGGCCATATATTCTCCACGGAAATGAGATGTGCAAATGCTAATACAACTGCATATCAAATATACTTGACTAACCATTAGTGGTTCATCTTAAACTGACCTTATCACAATTTTTAATTATACAAAAACTATACAAAACATTCAAAGTTAATACACCATGACTGAGGGGACAGAGTCAAATAATCTCCATGTTTATGAGTTGTGATAAGGCAGATACAACTGTATACCAAATATTACCATTAATGGTTCCCCTCCTAAACTGACAAAAACTAAGCAAAAGGTTCAAAGTCAATAGGCCATGACAGAGAGGACAGGGCCAAATAATCTCTGTAAAAAGGAGATGTGCCGATGCTAATACAAATGCATACCACATTGAGTTTTTTGCATTTTTTTTTAAACTTTACAAGAAATATGATGAACTAATAGGACCAAATACAGTGGTCATGTGACATTCAAACAATTTAAAAAAATGCTTGTGTTGTTTCAACAATATTACCTACAGTAATCATATATACACAAAATATCTGTACAAATGAATATTATCTATAGATGTAAGTGATATGGTATTAATCACATAATGTATATATTTTCATATTTTTTTAGCCTGTTGCCTAATTCAGAAAAATAAATCCAGTCATTCTTGATAGACATTAGACTTTATATATTAATTTCATCTAAAAGTATACCAGTATTATAGCATGTTTTTAAAGCATTGATACTTGAACATAGAATGAAAATCTTCTAATCAACAAGTCAGAAACTAATATATATTTCATGCTTAAATGAATCTGCTTTGTTCTTATTTAGTATAAAATAACAAGACTGGCATTACTTGTTACTTTTAAAATACTTCTTCAAAGAAAAGTATAAGAATTGAGCTACCTTGAGGAACACAAGTAATGGTGGAGATATTTATACCATTCATTATGTCAAGAGCTGAATTATTTTATGTTTTACATGGCTAGAAATAAATAAGGATAAAGTGTTTACAATTTACCAGTTGGAATAATTAGTGAAAGGTGCAATATTGTTGCCAGCATTATTTCCATACACCATTTTTTTAGAGGTATTTTTGTCTAAATTAAATAAATTCAGTGCAAACAATGTCATGAAATTCATTATTTCTTTTTTTTTCATAATATCAATTATCAACAAAAACTGGTAAACTATATGTCTAATAAACCTCAGAAAACTTTCAGCCCTTAGTAAAAATGTATCTGAACTTATTTTTCTGAACTGCCACAATATACATTTAAAAAACATATGATAAAAATTCTGTATGTAAAAAGTTTCTAGTAAAAATCTATTTTGAAAATAATAGCACTTTAATTATTTTATGTACAAAATATATGATAAAAGCTAATTCTCATTAAAATATATATATACTCAAGGTGTCAAAGTTGCATAGTTGTACAGCACCAGTTAACATGATAAAAAAACGCACCAGACTCCATTTATACATGTATTTAACAATAATTAGAGAGCAAAATGTCAGCTCTTGTTCATTGGAAGCACTAACAGAAAAGAGAACATTCACTTATATCTCAACAAAAACTAGGATGATTATTTTCCGCTATATATCATTAACATAACTAACCAATAACAAATTATGAAATCCAAATCATCATTGGGATACCAACGATAAGGTTCTCTTATACAAAATGTATAAAGAAATATTGTCTCCATTCAATCAGTATACATCAGACTTTAAACTGACACAACATTCCATTAAATACATGTTTGAATGTTGTTTTGCCTAAAAATAACACCATAGAACATTTTCAAGTGCTATTATTTCTTTTACAGGAAACAACATCCTCTTCAATATAAATATCTTCTTTCTGACCAAACCGAGATTTTTTTTTTACGATTAAATGAATTGTGTATTTCTAACAAAAACAATAAGTAACTTCACCTAACCTGCAAATGAATTCTGAATATAAAAAAAAACACATGATCAATGTCTCATATTCAAATACTTATTTTCCTGAGCTAACTGAGTCAACACTGAGCTCATATCATTAACAACCATATTATTAGACATCATAGAGTATCGTGAAGATTGAGACTCGGAACGATTTCCTGAAGGAGGTATGTAGGTATTTGTACAAGTATGCTCTGACACTGAACTCATATTGTCTAACAAATTCTCTGATGATATAGAATTAATGTTTTCCATGAAGTCTTCGATGGGTTGAGCTGCATCTTCAGGGTCTGTTGAGCTGGTCACCTTGTTACATCCAGGTGACATTTCCATTGGATTACTGGAATACTGTTGTTGGTTGTTAGCCATTCGTTGATTCATGTTTTGCTGGTTCCACATTGACTGCTGATTTGGATCATTTTGATTGTACATATTTGTTGGATAAATCATGTTACCATGGTTTCCACCTTGATTGACATTCTGAGTCATTTTTTGTTGGCTGAAATTTCCTTGCATTTGTTGATACATTTCTTGATTGTTATAAGAGTTTTGATTGGGTCGTATCATACTGTTACAATTCTTCTGATTGGTTAACATCTCGTTATGCTGTGGCATCATCATCTGATTACGATTCGCTGCTTTTCCCCTTGCAGGAATCTGTGATGTGCTTATATGAGGTACTTGTACTTGGGGGCTCTGTGATTCTCGTTTATTAACAGGGGGTTGAGGGGGTAACATTAAGCCAGATTGCATCTGGTTCACAATAGGTTCATTATTCATATGACCTTGCATTTGCATATTATTCATGACTTGACCTCCAGGCAATTGCATATTATTCATATTTACACCACCATTCATTTGCATATTATTCATATTTCCACCACTATTCATTTGTGTATTCATATTTTGTCCTCCTTGCATTTGCATATTTGTATTTTGTCCTCCTTGCATTTGCATATTTGTATTTAGTCCTTGCATTTGCATATTTGTATTTTGTCCTCCTTGCATCTGCATATTCATGTTATTCATATTCTGATAATTACCCATTTGATTTTGCATCATATTCTGATTACCAGCTGACATTGCCATGCGTCTCATGTTCATACGCTGTTGTGATTTAGGCATGCTAGGTGGCTGTGGTGATCTCTCCTGATTAAATTGAGAATTACTGCCACCGCCCTGCATCATCTGCCATTGATTTATTCCCATCTGCTGTCCATTGCCAAAATTCCTGTTGCCATTTTGTGGCATCTGCATATTCCCTTGCATGTTCCCACCATTCGTTCTGTATTGCAAATTTCCCATATTCATCATTTGCATATTATTCATTGGTCCATTTTGCATTGGTTTAGTTGATGGTGGATGAGGAATCATATTTGATGATGGTGGTGGCATCATATTATTTGATGAATTTTGCGACACCATATTCATGGATGAGTTTGATGGCATAGAGCCAGATGAATGAGAAGGCATTGAATTTTGCATAGAGTTCTGACCTTGAGACATATTTTGCATGTTGTAACCTTGACTTTGATCCCACATTGGATTCATTTGCATACTGCCATTTTGCACTGTATTGTTTTGCATCTGTCCTTGTGAATTATTCATATACATAGCATGATTATTTACATTTTGGTTTCCATAATAACCTGTAGACATTTGCATATTACTTCCATCTGCCATCGGCATTTGTTGATTTGAGCATTTCATAGAGTCCTGACCAGGCTCACAATGGATTTCATTTTCCTGCAATGCTTCCATTTCCTGAAAACTACTAGGTATACCGTGATTATAACATTCATTTAGAAATCGTTGCATGTCATCAGGAATTATCATGTCTTCATTGTCTGCCATTAATTGTTCTTCCAGTGCTGCCTCATGGTCTGCATCAGTTCGTCCAGGAGAACCATACTCATCATTCTCATTCAGACTGTAATCAGTAGCAATACTACTACGTGATGAATGAAAGGTGTTATTTGATCCTGTTTTATTCATTAAACTTTTCATGGACTGTGGTACAGGCAGAGGTTTCATCATGTTCAAACTATGAAATCTTTGTAATTTTTTCAAAGCACTAAAATTTGGATCCAATGTTCTAACAGGGTCACTAGCTCTCCTAATTTCTCGGCCAGGTATCTCATGAGGTAGTGGTGTTTGACAAGGTGTACTAGTCCTTGCTCCATCTAAATCATGTCTTGCAGACAAAAATCGTGCTACTCTTTCTTGAGCATATTTACTTGCGGGACTTCTCAAAGTCATTGCTTGAGATGTAACAACAAGATTAGGATGACTACCAAGCTGTGCTTTTGAAAGCTGAGCAGCAATATCACTCATGTTACTGGTTTCACTTGATCGTCGGCTATTGATCTGAACACCTGGTCCATGAATAGGAATATTCCCTGTAATGTCATACTCATATGGAGAGTTTGTTATACTGAGACGGTTAGAAACCTGCGAGACATCACTAGATCGACGACTTGAATAATGGCTGCTGAGAGGAAAAGGACTAGCATCAGATCTCATGCTGCTCAAATAAGAACTGATAGTACTTGTATTACTGTCCCGACGATTACCATTCACAGGTAGTAATTTATTAACTGGTAATAAATCATTTCGATCTGAAAGTAAAATATGAAAATATGAATAAGGCATGCTTTTTTCTTACACACAAACAGGAGAAGTTTTATTTCTGATTTTGTAATATGGAAATGTTTTTTATTAGGCAAGATATAATCACCTATAAGCTTGTCTATAATATTGTATGTTCTACTCCTCTTCAGCATGCTTTTTTGTGTTCCTTTTCATCTGTCATTGGACAGTAGGTAGATTTTGACTATCTGAACTATCTGCCTTTGTCAAAATTTTCTCTATATATATCGGTTTTGAAGATGTCTTGCATTTTTCACTATGTTTTATTCTTAGCCATGGCAACCATGTTATTTGGTAGGCTGGATCATCAGACAAATTTTAAAAATATATATAAAGCATTCAGAAAATTAGTTTATACAGAATTACAAACAAACCTACCACAAAATTCTTCAAACAGTTTACCAAAGAAAAGAAAAATCAAAATGTCTAATAATGAACAGTAAATTTCAGACTATATTTATACTGTCCTACAGAGCTTATCATCAAAAACACTTAGGAAACATAAAACTTTCAAATAAATCTGTCACTCCAATTATAATTGTGATTGATAATTACCACATGTTTGTTATCTTAAAAACACTTAATGTAATCAAACTTTATATTTTTCATTTGTCACAAACTAATATCTACAACTTATCTATCAATGTCAACAACTTTATGTTCACAATGTAATGTAATGAAATATATCCTTTAATAAAAATAGATCATTATCCAATGAAAATGATATTTGCAATCTGAACCCCCAAACAGGATCAAGTAAAAAATATATACTTATTAATTAATTACATTTCTGTTCAAAGGGAAATAACTCAAAATAAACAAGACCAAATGACATAGAAATTACATTTCTGTTCAAAGGGAAATAACTCAAAATCATATAATAAGTATCCCTTTTGGCTATTGACTCAACGACGAGAAAAGCTAAAATCATATAAATTGAACTTGACCTTCATTTATTCACAGGAAACAACATATCTAAATTTGAAAAGATTTCGTCAAAGCGTTTTCATGTTAATGAACGGACACTGTTTCGCAGCGTCCCGCCCGCCCGCCGTACATCCCCAAATCAATAACCTATTTTTCTTTCAAAAATCTGGTTCACTAGATAGCCCAAGTACGAGTGGCCATATTTTGCTAGAAATAATTCATTTGCAAACATTTAAGCATGAAAATAACTTCAGATATGTTAATTAATATCAGGTATTTAGACTGACACAGCTGTTAATTATATAACCTGTAAACTCTTAGCCACCAAATAACAATACAATGACCACATTTCTAATAAAGGCTTGTTTAGTACAGTAATTAATCATTATGGCTCTGAAAAGTGTGTACATGTAGGAAAAAAGTTTAATCAAAAGACAGTCTAATACATTAAAGCTTTAATTCTAAGATGAAAATCATGCACAAACCCATAGCTTTGTCTATGTAAATGATGATGTAGATAGACTTTTACAAACAACAGAAGTCAAAATTGGCAAATATGGCCATTTTGGAAACTGTACTCCATACAATTCAACCTCATTTGCTAAGTGGGGACATAAAAACACTTATATGTTTTACTAAAAAAAAAAAATTAATCACATATTAAAAAAAAAATTTCAAATGCTTTTCATTGAAAGAGTTCATTTAAAAAAGTAAAACAAGCTGTATCTAAACTTACTTTTAAGATCCGTAATACTTTTGTGCTGTGGTCTTTTCTGTAAGCTTTTCAGATCAGTCAGGTCAGTCATTTGATTAACTATTAAAAATATCAGAATGTTTAAGCAAATATATACACAATACTCATATTGAGATTAGAAAAAATACATGTTGCTGTATAACCACTTGATTTTTGACTTGCAACTGATTTTTACAGTTTGTTAATGTGTTGTGCTGTTACACCACTGTCCCAGGTTTTGGTAGGGTTGAGCTCTCACAAACATGTTTAACTCCACCATATTCTTTATGTGCCTGTCCCAAGACAGGAGCCTGTAATACAGTATTTGTTGTTGGTTCATGTCTGCCATATTTGTTTTTTGTAAATTGTTTTGTTATAAATTAGGCTGTTAGTTTTCTCATTTGAATTGTTTCACATTGTTCATGTGGAGGCCTTATATAAGCTGACTATTCGGTATGGGTTTTCCTAATTGTTGATAGCTGTAAGGTGGCCTATAATTGCTTATTACCACTTCATTTTAACTCTGGTGGATAATTGTCTCATTGGCAATCATGCCACATCTCCTCATTTTTATATCTAGATAACAAACCTAAATGTGAATGTTATTCTCATGTTCCAATTGTGGTTCATTATTTACAATGTCTATTTTTTCCTTTTTAGTTTGCTTCAGAAGTGTACTCTACTTAGTTATCTTGTCTTCTGAGTTGCCCTATTGTTTGTATTACATTAAATTCTTAATTGCAATAAAATATAAAAAATGCTCCCTTCTGCTCTGATCCAAGTATATAATTTCCTTTATTCTTTCCAATTGTCTGTAGGAAACACAAAATTACTTTTAAAAAGGTCATGCATTTTATATTTATCTACATGTGTGTGTAAAACATGGATGTCCAACCTTAAAAGAAATTTAAATATTGCTTTTTTTGCACTAGTCTTTTTGATTTGCTTATTCCAGTGGCCATAGAGACATCTTATTCTGCCTTGTTCTTTATCTCAATTTAATGATACTTTTAATTCTTTCAAAATATGAACTATTTGCTTTTTCTAACTGTTCCTACCTTTTACATTATTTGGTCTCTGGTGGAGAGTTGTCTCTTTGGCAATCATACAACATCTTCATATTTTCATATTAACAGGATTTTTTACAAACATACAAAATGTTGCCATTAATTCCAAAGAATATGATACATATACGTCACCAGTGTCTTTAAATAAAATATAAAAGTCATTTCAATGTACATATAACTCTGTTCTTTAATTCAATTTAATTTCTTTGTTTTGCCAATGCAGCAATTTTTTTTCTGTGATGAATACAAGATAGACTTACTGTTTTCCTGGCTTGTAATGGTAGGCAATTGACTTTTGCCAGATAGTCTGTTTTTAGTCTGCATGGTTAGTTGTGAATTTAATCTATTTGTTCTGGTTACTAATGAGGAACCACTGCCTGGAACCTAGAAAGAAAAATATAGCTTTTTAATAGTGTTTAACATACAAAAAATATAATTCACCATCCAATATTTTCCGCAAGTGTTGTTTAAACCCAACATTTGTTTAAGCTTGCCTCTTTGTCAAAAATATACTAAACAAATAATTTGTTCACTTACTTCAATTTCTCAAATTTCTAAATTGCAACTGGATTTCATATGCCTGTCCCAAGTGAGGAGCCTGTTATTCATTGGTTGACGTTTGTTGCTGTTTATCATATTTGTTTTTCTTTTATTGTTTTTTAAATAAATCAGGTTGTTAGTGTTCTCATTTGAATTGTTTTACATTTGTCATTTCAGGGCCTCTTATAGAATGTTATGCAGTATGGATTTTCCTCATGGTTGAAGGACTTATGGTGATCTATAGTTGTTAACTTCTATGTCATTTGGTTTCTGGTGGAAAGTTGTCTCATTCTTCTTATTTTTATATCAATGAAATGATAACAATATCAAATCAAGAAGTTCACATCATCTGTTACTTTATAATTGACCAGTAACTTACTTCTGCCTCATCTGGTTCTGGTATATCCACTTCCTCTTCCTCTTCCATTCCGTGGTCTGTTGAAATATTCTGCGTGTTAATATGGTCCTCTATCAAATCTGGTTGCATGTTACATGTGACATTGACCTCTGGACTACTCTGTGGCGAAGGCTGTTGATGGGATACAGCACTTCCAACATTGTCCTGTAAATATATCATTCATAACTTGCATAAATTAACATATGATCTGAGTTTCATAACATTTTTGCTTACAAATAATTCTAACCTGTGATGACTACTTTCCTTGAACATAACAGTTGGTACTTCTTATCAAACATATATGAACAATGTTGTAAGGATTTATGCCTTAAAAATATGCTATCTTAATAAAAAAAAATCAAAATCTTATCACATCCAGTTCTAATAAAATCCAATTTCTTCAGTCCTTTTATTTGCTTGGGAAATATGGGAAACATTATAAATTGTGAAAAAAAATATCAAATGTAAATGCAATTCCCTGTGCAATATTCATCTTCAGCCAGGAGAAATGTAATCCTGGAAATCCAATGAAAAAAGGGCTAAAGAAAGATTACTTTGTAGTTACTATTAATTTTAAATGTATTTGTATTTTTGTAAAACTATTTCAATATGAATATAAGTAAGTTCTTAGGACATATTAAAATAAGATTTTCCAGCGTTTGAATCAGTGGTTTTTATTAATGTTACAGCAAAGCATACCTGAGATCTACGTCTCTCTCCAGCAGCTTGAAGTGGCGTGACAGTCAGACATTCTTCCATCTTATTATTGCCTTCTTCTTTTTCTTGGTCCTATAAATAATCAGTTACAGTATTAAAATGCTTATTGTTGAATTCCTTCCTTGTTACATCCTTGGCTTTCAAATACTGTAAATTCAGAAATTATTGCGATGTTTTTATTATTGCGAAAAATGCGACAGGGTTATAATCGCAATAATTTAAACTCGCATTTTGAAATTTTTTATATGAATTAAACAGGATTTTTCTCAATATCGCAAAAAATAAAATCGCATTTTAGTCTAAAATAAAATGCTCCGCAGGGCGCAGCTTGATACGACCGCAGAGGTCGAACCCTGAACAGTTGGGGCAAGTATGGACACAACATTCAAGCTTGATACAGCTCTGAATTTGGATTGTGATTAAATATTTGACACAGCATAGGTTTCTGACACAGAATGAATGTGGTCTAAGAACTTAAAATTTTAAATTGGACATTCACCTATTATGGTCAAATATCCAAAATCTAAATACATGGTTAGATTCAGCATATCAAAGAACCCCAAGAATTCAATTTTTGATGAAATCAAACAAAGTTTAATTTTGGACCCTTTTGACCTCAATGTGGACAAAGTTGATAATGGGGCCCAAAAATCAAAAATCTAAATACATGGTTAGATTCAGCATATCAAAGAACCCCATATATTCAATTTTTGTTGAAATCAAACAAAGTTTAATTTTGGACCCCGATTTGGACCAACTTGAAAACTGGGCCCATAATCAAAAATCTAAATACATGTTTAGATTCAGCATATCAAAGAACCCTAAATATTCTATTTTTGTTAAAATCAAACTAAGTTTAATTTTGGACCCTTTGGACCTTAATGTAGACCAATTTGAAAACGGAACCAAAAATTAAGAATCTAAATACACGGTTAGATTCGGCATATCAAAGAACCCCAATAATTCAATTTTGGATGAAATCAAACAAAGTTAAATTTTGGACCCTTTGGACCTCAATGTGGACCAATTTAAAAACGGGGCCCAAAATCCAAAAACTTAATACACGGTTAGATTGAGCATATTAAAGAACCCCAAGAATTCAAGAATAAAACCCCATTGAAATTGATCAAGAAATAAGCAATTTATACGAAGTATCTTCTTTTGCACAATACTGTGCAATTGAATATTTCTTGCTATTGCCCAATACTGTACAATTGACAATTTCTTGCTATTGCGCAATATTGTGCTATTGGATATTTCTTGCTATTGCGCAATACTGTGCAATTGAAGATTTCTTGCTATTGCGCAATACTGTGCAATTGAAGATTTCTTGCTATTGTGCAATGCTGTGCAATTGAAAATTTCTTGCTATTGCACAATACATATTATATAATAATTTACACATCCTGTTTGGTGTGTATCTCCTACCATATCATTATTATTTGCTTTTAAATATAAATCAGAAATAACCAACTTAAAATGGAAAATTTTAAAAGAAAAAAAAAATGAAAAAAAGAAAAAAAAAAATCCCCCCCCCAAATTTTTTGAACCCCCTTATGATTCATCACCCCCAAACTCAATCCCAGCCTTCCCTTTGTGGTATGGTACCTTGCAGTACAATTTCAGAGAGATCCATACACTTGAACACAAGTTATTGTCTGGAAACTAGAAAAATGCTTATTTTTGGCCCCTTTTTGGCCCCCAATTCCTAAACGTTTCGGGCAATTACCCCCAAACTCAATTCCAGCTTTCCCTTTGTGATATGGAACCTTGTAGTACAATTTCAGAAATATCCAAACACTTACACACAAGTTATTGTCATGAAACTAGAAAAATGCTTGTTTTTTGCCCCTTTTTTGGCCCCTAATTCCTAAACTTTGAGGCAATTACCCCCAAAATCAATTACAGCCTTCCCTTTGTGATATGGAACCTTGTGGTACAATGTCAGAGAGATCCATACACTTACACACAAGTTATTGTCTGGAAGTTACAATAAAATGCTTCGCTGGGCGCAGCTTGATACGACCGCAGAGGTCGAACCCTGAACAGTTGGGGCAAGTATGGACACAACATTCAAGCTTGATACAGCTCTGAATTTGGATTGTGATTAAATATTTGACACAGCATAGGTTTCTGACACAGAAAGAATGTGGTCTAAGAACTTCAATTTTTTTAATTTACCTATTATGGTCCAATGTCCAAAATCAAAATACATGGTTAGATTCAGCATATCAAAGAACCCCATATATTCAATTTTTGTTGAAATCAAACAAAGTTTAATTTTGGACCCCAACTTGGACAAACTTGAAAACTGGTCCCATAATCAAAAATCTAAACACATGTTTAGATTCAGCATATCAAAGTACCCCAAGAATTCAATTTTTGTTAAAATCAAACTAAGTTTAATTTTGGACCCTTTGGACCTTAATGTAGACCAATTTAAAAAACGGGACCCAAAATTAAAAATCTAAAAACACGGTTAGATTTGGCATATTAAAGAACCCCAATAATTCAATTTTTGATGAAATCAAACAAAGTTTAATTTTGGACCCTTTTGACCTCAATATGAACCAATTTGATAGCAGGCCCATAAAATAAAAAATCTAAATACATGGTAAGATTCAGCATATCAAAGAACCCCATATATTCAATTTTTGTTGAAATCAAACAAAGTTTAATTTTGGACCCCAATTTGGACCAACTTGAAAACTGGGCCAAAAATCTAAAATCTAAATACATGTTTAGATTCAGCATATCAAAGAACCCCATGTATCCAATTTTTGTTGAAATCAAACAAAGTTTAATTTTGGACCCCAACTTGGACCAACTTGAAAACTGGTCCCATAATCAAAAATCTAAACACATGTTTAGATTCAGCATATCAAAGAACCCCAAAAATTCAATTTTTGTTAAAATCAAACTAAGTTTAATTTTGGACCCTTTGGACCTTAATGTAGACCAATTTAAAAAACGGGACCCAAAATTAAAAATCTAAATACACGGTTAGATTTGGAATATCAAAGAACCCCAATAATTCAATTTTTGATGAAATCAAACAAAGTTTAATTTTGGACCCTTTTGACCTCAATATGAACCAATTTGATAGCGGGCCCACAAATAAAAAATCTAAATACATGGTAAGATTCAGCATATCAAAGAACCCCATATATTCAATTTTTGTTGAAATCAAACAAAGTTTAATTTTGGACCCCAATTTGGACCAACTTGAAAACTGGGCCCATAATCAAAAATCTAAACACATGTTTAGATTCAGCATATCAAAGAACCCCAAGAATTCAATTTTTGTTAAAATCAAACTCAGTTTAATTTTGGACCCTTTGGACCTTAATGTAGACCAATTTAAAAACGGGACCCAAAATTAAAAATCTAAATACACGGTTAGATTTGGCATATCAAAGAACCCCAATAATTCAATTTTTGATGAAATCAAACAAAGTTTAATTTTGGACCCTTTTGACCTCAATATGAACCAATTTGATAGCGGGTCCACAAATAAAAAATCTAAATACATGGTTAGATTCAGCATATCAAAGAACCCCAAGAATTCAATTTTTGATGAAATCAAACAAAGTTTAATTTTGGACCCTTTTGACCTCAATGTGGACAAAGTTGATAACGGGGCCCAAAAATCAAAAATCTAAATACATGGTTAGATTCAGCATATCAAAGAACCCCATATATTCAATTTTTGTTGAAATCAAACAAAGTTTAAATACTGGACCCCAACTTGGACCAACTTGAAAACTGGGCCCATAATCAAAAATCTAAACACATGTTTAGATTCAGCATATCAAAGAACCCCAAGAATTCAATTTTTGTTAAAATCAAACTCAGTTTAATTTTGGACCCTTTGGACCTTAATGTAGACCAATTTAAAAACGGGACCCAAAATTAAAAATCTAAATACACGGTTAGATTTGGCATATCAAAGAACCCCAATAATTCAATTTTTGATGAAATCAAACAAAGTTTAATTTTGGACCCTTTTGACCTCAATATGAACCAATTTGATAGCGGGTCCACAAATAAAAAATCTAAATACATGGTTAGATTCAGCATATCAAAGAACCCCAAGAATTCAATTTTTGATGAAATCAAACAAAGTTTAATTTTGGACCCTTTTGACCTCAATGTGGACAAAGTTGATAACGGGGCCCAAAAATCAAAAATCTAAATACATGGTTAGATTCAGCATATCAAAGAACCCCATATATTCAATTTTTGTTGAAATCAAAAAAAGTTTAATTTTGGACCCCGATTTGGACCAACTTGAAAACTGGGCCCATAATCAAAAATCTATATACATGTTTAGATTCAGAATATCAAAGTACCCTAAAAATTCAATTTTTGTTAAAATCAAACTAAGTTTAATTTTGGACCCTTTGGACCTTAATGTAGACCAATTTGAAAACGGAACCAAAAATTAAGAATCTAAATACACGGTTAGATTCGGCATATCAAAGAAGCCCAATAATTCAATTTTTGATGAAATCAAACAAAGTTAAATTTTGGACCCTTTGGACCTCAATGTGGACCAATTTAAAAACGGGGCCCAAAATCCAAAAACTTAATACACGGTTAGACTCAGCATATTAAAGAACCCCAAGAATTGAAGAATAAAACCCCATTGAAATTGATCAAGAAATAAGCAATTTATACGAAGTATCTTCTTTTGCACAATACTGTGCAATTGAATATTTCTTGCTATTGTGCAATACTGTACAATTGACAATTTCTTGCTATTGCGCAATATTGTGCTATTGGATATTTCTTGCTATTGCGCAATACTGTGCAATTGAAGATTTCTTGCTATTGCGCAATACTGTGCAATTGAAGATTTCTTGCAATTGTGCAATACTGTGCAATTGAAAATTTCTTGCTATTGCACAATACTTATTATATAATAATTTACACATCCTGTTTGGTGTGTATCTCCTACCATATCATTATTATTTGCTTTTAAATATTAATCAGAAATAACCAACTTAAAATGGAAAATTTTAAAAGAAAAAAAAAAGGAAAAAAAGAAGAAAAAAAAATCCCCCCCCCCAAATATTTTGAACCCCCTTATGATTCATCACCCCCAAACTCAATCCCAGCCTTCCCTTTGTGGTATGGTACCTTGCAGTACAATTTCAGAGAGATCCATACACTTGAACACAAGTTATTGTCTGGAAACTAGAAAAATGCTTATTTTTGGCCCCTTTTTGGCCCCCAATTCCTAAACGTTTCGGGCAATTACCCCCAAACTCAATTCCAGCTTTCCCTTTGTGATATGGAACCTTGTAGTACAATTTCAGAAATATCCAAACACTTACACACAAGTTATTGTCATGAAACTAGAAAAATGCTTGTTTTTTGCCCCTTTTTTGGCCCCTAATTCCTAAACTTTGAGGCAATTACCCCCAAAATCAATTACAGCCTTCCCTTTGTGATATGGAACCTTGTGGTACAATGTCAGAGAGATCCATACACTTACACACAAGTTATTGTCTGGAAGTTACAAAAATGCTTATTGTTGGCCCCTTTTTGGCCCCTAATTCCTTAACTGTTGGTACCATAACCCCTAAAATCAATCCCCACCTTCCTTTTATGGTATTGAACCTTATGGTAAAATTTCATGGAGATCCATTCACTTAAACTAAAGTTAGAGTGCGAAAACCAATGTGTCTTCGGACGACGCCAGATGACGACGACGACGACGACGACGACGACGACGACGCCAACGTCATACCAATATACGACCAAAAAATTTTCAATTTTTGCGGTCTTATAAAAATGTTTATTTTTGGGCCCTAATTCCTTAACTGTTGGTACCATAACCCCCAAAATCAATCCCAACCTTCCTTTCGTGGTATTGAACCTTATGGTAAAATTTTATGGAGATCCATTCACTTAAACTAAAGTTAGAGTGCCAAAACCAATGTGTCTTCGGACGACGCCAGATGACGCCGGACGACGACGACGACGCCAACGTCATACCAATATACGACCAAAAAATTTTTTATTTTTGCGGTCGTATAATGACAAAGTCGCAATATAAAATGCACACAATAATTTCTGAATTTACAGTATTTGGCTTTGAGCATTCCTGATGAAGGTCAATCCAGAAAGCACCTTAGAAAGTGCTTTTTAAATTTTTTCCAGTATTTCTTGGTTGAAAATGTGGGTCTTTGCTTAAGCCATTTTATCAAGAAACACTGAGCAGGATCATTATAAAAATAAATGGGGAATGTGTCCATGGCACTCAAGATGAGTCCCCGCTTGCCTACAACATTATAAAGGGCCCTTTATAGCTAACTGTTTGGTGTGAGCCAAGGCTCTGTGTTGTAGGTTGTACTTTGACCTATAATGGTTTACTTTTACAAATTGTGACTTGGAAGGAGAGTTGTCTCATTGGCACTCATACCACATCTTCTTATATCTAATAACTCAAGAACGGTAAAAGTGACGCTACCAAAATTCTAACTTGATCTGTGTTTTGAGGTAATAAACATTGTGTATAAGATTCATTACGTTTAGTTGAGGCAAACTAAAATTAGAGAACAGAAACTAAAAATTCAGCAATTTTTCCATTTGTAAAGGGGCATAACTCTAGAATGGTAAAAGTGACGCCACCAAAATTCAAACTCGATCTGTGTTTTATGGTAGTAAGCATTGTGTATAAGTTTCTAACAATTGTTTGAGGCAAACTAAAGTAAGAGAACGGAAACCAATTTCGGGACGTACGTATGTACGGACGGACATACAGATAGTCAAAAGTAAAACTTAATGCCCTCTCTGCTACGGTGGGAGCATAAATATTGATAACAAATATAAAAGAATTTGTAAATTTTGCTCTTTAAATTCAATTGAAGACGAAATTCATTTTCATGTGGAATGTCCAGCATCAACGACTATATTATGTTAGATTCTGCTTTAAAATAAGAATTAATTTTAAAAATCTAGAATACAGAAAACAGAAAACAGATTTATTTTGCTTCCTTCATGTGAACATGAAGAAATATGCAACACTGTTGCTTTATTCTGTTATAAATGTTTTACAATTAGAAAACTACTTCTCCAGATATTATTATTGTTCCTTTACTTGTGTCTATTTATGCATATTTACAATCATTTTATATAACATGCACTTTATGAGATCATGATAGGCTAAATACACACAGATTTCATATTCATATTGGTATTCATATAGTGGGTATGTCAAGATTTTGTTTAGCAACCTGGAAAATAGTGTGTCTTCACTGGGTCTGGTTCAAGTATTATATATATATTGCTTAATGTAAGTTCATTACCTCTCAATGAACAAAGTGACTGTTTTTTTCTTCAATTCTGTCATATATTTTGATAGAATAAATTAGCAACAACTGATATGTTGGTGAAAAGTTAGAGGTGGAAAAATTTTATCAAAATGCAAAGGTGAGGCTAAAAAATTAGAATTAGTCAAGATACTCTAAACACACATACTTTTATATTTGACCTTATCTCCTATCTTACATAACTATTATCCTAGGATAAGGAAAAGCATTTCTTCTATTGACATTTTAAGATTTCTCTTTTTGTTACAAAATGTCAATCAACATCTATCTCATGTCCTTTGTTTTTCAACTATCTGCTGGTATATATCTACTTTCATCACATAAAAAAATAAATGGGGAATGTGTCAATGGGACTCAGATGATGCCCCCGCTTGCATATAACGTTATAAAGGGACAAAACTCAAGAACTGTAAAAGTGACGCTACCCAAATCTGTACTTGATCTGAGTTTTGTGGTAGGAAGCATTGTTTCGAAGTTTCATAACATTTATTTGAGGCAAACTTAAGTTAGAGAACGGAAACGAAAAATTCAGCAATTTTTCCATTTGTAAAGGGGCATAACTCTAGAACGGTAAAAGTGATGCCACCAAAATTCGAACTTTGTCTGTGTTTTGTGGTAATTAGCATTGTGCATAAGTTTCATAAGATTTGGTTGAGGCAAACTAAACTAAGAGAACAGAAAGGAATATTTTAGCAATTTTTCCATTTGTAAAGGGGCATAACTCTAGAATGGTTAAAGTGACGCCACCAAAATTCAAACTCAATTTTTTTTTTTTTTTTGTGCTAATAAGCATTGTGTATAAGTTTCATAACATTTGAGTGAGGCAAACTAAAGTTAGAGAACGGAAACCAATTTTGGGACGTACGGACGGACGTACTTACAGACAGACAAGGGTAAAACTTAATGCCCCCTCCGCTACAACGGGGGCATAATTAGAGAGATTAAAATCCAAATGGGTGAAATTTGCCATAAAACTAAGGATACAATCCTCATTCAATTTCTTATATAATCATGATGAAACTTAAACAGAATTTTAAAAGTGAAATCAATTTGATTTTGAACAATTTGAATAATAGATACCTTACCACACAGTCACCACTGTAGTTCAGGTGAGTCACAGATAATTGCAATTTCAATAACTTTTATAACACCATCCATTGTAAGGTAATGATGGTGTTAATGTTGTACCTACCTGATCACCTTCTTCTTTCATTTCTTTCTTACAAGTACCATCCCCTTTGTGCTTCTTGTTGGCATAGAAATCAGGTCCATGGACAGTCTTTACATGTTTCCTCAAAGAACTTGGGTCTGTGTAACGTTTTGTACAACCTATTGCTTTACAGACATATGGTTTCTGAAATACATAAAATTACATAACTGACCAAGGTTTCAAAGAAATATAAGTCAACCATACACTTCCAAGTAAATCAAGGTACTATCAAATAGTCTCTGGAAAAGGTAATTTTTTGCAACACTTTAATATGATTAAGTCACACCAAGATACGCGGGTTATTCTGTGTGCACCACATTTTTGATGTTATTTCTTCATAGACAGAAAAAATATTACAGTCATTCCTTAAATATCAGGAAAATCACTAAATTCTTTGCCCTTGTGTTAGTATTGTTCTCATATCAAGAATAAAGTTCATGTTCAAGGAAACAATTGTGTGAACAGTTTAAACCAATTATAATTTGATGTCCAAGTGTTTAAGCAGTATATTCAACTCATTGAGAGAAAAAAAACATAAATTACTTTTTTATTGAGTTAGGAGTGTCAATGAATGCTATACTACCCCTTAATACTTACAGCATTAGAATGAGTCCTGTTCTGATGTTTGGCTCTGTCTGATGCATTACTAAATGCTTTAGTACACCCAGGAAATTCACACATGTAAGGTTTTTCACCAGTATGGGACCGAAGATGAGTCTTTAGATTTTCTAGCCTTGAGTATGCTTTAGAACACCCTTCAAACTACAAAATAAAATAAATCTAATCAAATTTCAACAACACTTTCTATGTCTATTGGTTCAAAATAGTATCTACATCTGGCTTCCATGTCTTTCATAATGTATAAAAAACTTTTACATATGAACATGAATTAATCGTTTTCATTCAAATGAATTGTTAATCATGCCTCTTGAGTCATTTCCTCTGTATAAAAACAATCATAATAATAATTAGTGTCATATTTCTCCTTCTGTATCGGTTAGGTGATTGTTTTTTTTTTTTTTTTGGTTTAATAGAAACTTTGTGGGAAAAAATCATCTATTCTTCATGTTTGTGTTTTATAAAACATTTGGCAAAGAAAACCTGATTTTAACTATGTACTGTCTTTTAAGATTGACAGGTCTACTTACAGTACATTTATGTGGTTTTTCTCCAGTATGTCTCCTCATATGAACAACTAACATGTACTGAGCTTTAAATGGCTTCTCCTCACGGTTACATTCTTTCCACCGACAGACAAAGGATTTCTTGTTGGCTTGAATGTGGTCTATGTTGATATGCTACAAAAAATAGGAGCATCATAAAATACAGTCCAATGAAACATTGAATTGTCAACAATGAAACATTATATGTCAATTCTGATAGGATATTTTTGTTTCCATATTACATGATTGGTGTTAAGAGTGTTCTACAGGTGTTTGTAATCATTTCTGGTAAAAAAAAATTAAATCTTGCTTATTTTTTTTTAAAACAGCATTTGAATGACAACAACAGAATTGTCTTTTTACGTATTGATCAATAATTTGATGACTGTAATTTTGACTTTACTTCCAATCAAACTAGGGTTAACTGTTTTTGTATACATGAATAATATCTGCTGGAAATAACACAGTATTGATACCATGGACTGATTTTTTCCAACTCTCAAACTGCCCTGAAAATAAACTCATCATAGATACCAGGAATGAAATTTTGTATTTGCGCCAGACGAGTATTTTGTCTACAAAAGACTCATCAGTGACGCTCGAATCAAAAAAAGTTAAAAAGGCCAAATAAAGTACAACGTTGATGAGCATTGAGGTTTAAAAATTCCTAAAAGTTTTGCCAAATACAGCTAAGGTAATCTATTCCTGAGGTAGAAAAGCCTTAGTTTTTCAAAAATGTAAAGTTTTGTAAACAGTTAATTTATAATTATGACCATATCAATGATAATTCATGTCAACACAGAAGTGCTGACTACTAGGCTGGTGATACCCTTGAGGAATAAAAACTCCACCAGCAGGAAATTTATTTGTTATTCCATTCCATCACAATTTTCCTATTACTCAGAAACATTGTTTTTATTTTTAACTAGGACTCTGTTTCGTTTTAACCAGAAACAGTAAAGAAATTTACATATATATCATGACATGGTGACATTATACATTTAAGTAAATATTTTTAAATATACCTTAACAAGATCATCCTGACAATCAAACTCTGATGAACAATTTTCCCAATGACAATTTGTTTCTATAAAATCAGGTTCCCCTTCCTGAGGTATGTGATCTGGTTTCCTGTCCATTTTTTCATCATCATCGAAATCGTCTAGTCCTACATGTTCAATGATATAGAATAAATAATATATATTTTTTTTAAATATTTATAATAACAAGTTTCCTGTCCATTTTTTCATCATCATCGAAATCGTCTAGTCCTGCATGTTCAATGATTAAGAATAAATAATATTTTTTATTTTTTTTTTTTAATATTTGTTATAACAATTTTCGTGCTACATCATACTGTGTTATACTTAATAAATACTATTTCCATTGTATAATACTTCTTCAATAGGCACAGTTATATGTAGTCAATGAAATTGTCTACAATGTGTGTTACCAAATTTTGTTTAAATGTCTGCTTAACAAGATGATTTTGTGGTTTCAGTGATTAATACAAAATTATTTTTCATCTGAACATCCTCTGTTGTCGTATTTATTTGTATGTAATTCTTGTGTTTTAGTGCATACTCATGGCAATTTCAACATTATTCTGCAAATTTACATGCTGGGTCTAAATCAGTTCTGTTAATAAATGAATTATATATTATTATAAACACTATGAATGAAATAACAGATCTTAAGACATATTTCAAAACTCTAGGTACTTTATGCATATGATTTCACCACGTGACCTGTGCCCTTTTGATTGAATTACTTCCCTTAGTTGTAAATTGAAAATATGAATTACATCAAATTTACGGATAATCCAGTCTTTTTCTGTCTTGGATCTAAAACTAACATGTCTCTGAAAACTTCCTTTATATTTACCAAAACATTGTGTAATTCTAAGGGAAAATGCTGAAATTTTGACTATTTATGAAATGGATAAGATGAAATCATCATGTTTTTTAAAAGAATTTGGCTGAAAACTTAAGAAAGCAGGTAAGATAAACGATGTTTTAACTGAAAATTCAACCTGCAAAGTGTTTCTCTATATGTGAACAAATCATGAACTACCTCTTCTTGCACCTTTATTTCTATTATTTTTTTTTTTTTTATTTTTTTTTTTTTAATTTCATACAGCAATTCTACAGTCACGCTTCTGATTTCAAACTGAAAAGGCAGAAAGTTTCAAAGTAGACAATATTCATTTGTACATGAGCAGAAGACAAAAACCATGTAGAATTCACCTATATCCATGCAAATTGTTGATTCAACTTAGGAATTGGCATATTTGCATTTTTATTTAAGGGGCATGTATATTCCTATTGCAAAGGCTGTCATCATGATAAGGCAATATGGCTGCTATGCAAAGTACCCTAAATTTTGCCATATGAGCTGTAGGGAAAAGGTTTTACTGACATAAATTTTAATTTAATAAATAATTAAAGTGTATTATCACAGATTCAGCTTTTCAGACATCCAAAGTGGGAAATTGAATTGCATACTAAATATTCAAAGTTCTAAAGCATATGTGGCAACTTTTCAAATCTCAATAAGTGGGAAATATCCCTCAGACAGAAAAGTTTTAAAGAGAGAGAGAGAGAAATTTTATATTTGTTAAACAAAAAAGTTCTACTGGTAACTTTAGGACAGAATGAGAAACATGGGTAACACTATATGCCCCAGCCACTGAGTCTAGAAATAAGTGACCCTTACTAACCTTTACTACAATTTTCAAAAGAAATAAATTATATATTGTAAATCATATCAAAATTCTTGTTAAGCCTAAAACACAAATCGCTTTATAAAACTTTACTTAGAATAACAAAAACTTACGAGAACCATCATTTTCTTTTTTGACCTTTGACCTTTTAATCTCTATTGTCTGGTCAACAGTACTACTAACTACACTACTTCCTGCATCTTTTGTTGTCGTGGAGATTTGTGGCTGCAAACAGAATTCAGATTTTTCAATCAGAGTTATCTTTCTTATTACAGAAATAAATTTTTACAAAATTTTAAACTGATAGGAGAATAAGAAACACCTAACAAGTTAACAATTATATATCCATGTTTAATTTAAACAATAGACTACTTTAAGGGATAGAAAAGAATGTTATCATTCTTTGTGCAATTCCTCTCTCTAAATAATAAATCTTGCTTTTGAATTACTGTATTCTGTCATAAATTTTACACTGCATAGTTCTACAATTATTACCATTGCATAGATACTTTTCATAAGGTCTTAATTTATTAGAATAAAAGTTGTGTACAGTCAATGTTTTCTTTATAATTTAATACAAATGGTAGGACAGCATTGCAGAAAATGAGCAGGAATTCTTTGGTTCAGTAAAGTTTTTCAACAAACTAAAGAGACCTAATTTAGTTTCCTTTTACATTCTGAAATCTTCAGGTCTTTTGCATTATTCTACCACTGGAATCTTTCAAAATATATCTAATTGGTGAAATTAACACTTTAATAGAAACTCTTGTTGAAAATTTTACAGTCTCCACATCCACTATCTGTATTTCTGTGGTATGGTTCTAGTTAATAATTAAACCATGGCTGGTACAAACTAGTGATGTCAAATATGACCACACAAGTATCATAATAATTCAACATAGTCATCAATGAGCTACACAAATTAACATTTCCTATCAAGAACAAAAATTGTATGTTTTAACATGGTATGTGAGAGTCTTTGCCATGCTCCATTTAGTGTAAAATGTTACAAAAACATTAACTACCATCAGTTAAAGTTCCAGTAAATAGTATGCCATAAATAATTTCACAACCACTAGCTTTACAGAACAAAGTCATTACTTACCGAAAGTTCTGGTTTTGTTGGCATTTGATGCATCATAGGTTGTGAGGTAGGTGGCATCATTGGTGCTTGTGGCATTTTACTGTTGTGGCCCATCATGGGTGGATGCATCATGGGATACATGAATGGCGATCCTGGTATACTACCAGGTTGTCGTAGATATTGGTTATGTGGATTGTGTGGATTATGTGGGTTGTGTGGGTTATGTGGATGTTGCTGATGTGCTGGACTGGCAGTTCCCAGGGATGCTGAAAAAATGTACAAATACATGTTATACAATTCTAAATAACTTTAATTTTCTTCTTTCATTACATCTAATGCAAAATCAATCATTTGATATTGACTGTCAGTCATAATTTAGATTCATACATTTTACTGTAAGAATTAATAATGTACAGAGCAAAGCAAGTTCCAAAGTAACATTCAGTACAGTAAACTGGATTCATGTTATGTAATTAAATTTTTACAGTGATTGTGGATAATCCACTAGGTGCTAGTACATAAGGTGTGCAGAGAAGTATTGTCAACAGACTAATGTACCATTTATACCAGCGTTCCCCACTTGTTCTAACATCCCATAAATTTTCATTAATGAACTTAAAATATTCCTTTTAACCTGCCGTGGTGATTACCTAGAATGGCCCAGAATCAATCTATTTTTTAACTATTAGATCATCTATACCAATGCAAAATGTACAAACACTGTCTGAAGTCTCTTCTGAGCAAAAGGCAGTCAGGTACAACCAAGTTTTATTGTTAAAGTTTAGTCATTTAAAAGCTGTGAATTACTGAAAAAAAGAACCTTATCTGAGAAAATTTCAAATGCACTATATGCAGTTATTTCAGCAACCATTTTTGAATAAGTTCCAGTTATTCATATGAGCAACAGATGGAAATGAAATGAAGTGATTTTATCCTCATGTTTTGGTTTATTTGAGGGATTTTGTTTTTGTTTTTATATAATGAAATATGATCTCGTTTATTGGTCTGTGAATGAAGCAAAACAAAAAAGAAGTATTCAATTATTGAAAAGTCAAGTTTTCCAAAGTAAACTATGTGCTAGAATTTGATGACTCATGAATTCTACTACTCAGAAACCAATGGTTTTACAATTCTATGTTTCTACATCTAAATCAAACAAAGAATGCAAGGAACTGTCAGAAAGATTTTGATAAATGATCAATTTACACTGGGAAATATGTAAATTACATAAACACCAATCTTTGTAAAAACTACCAGACAACTTCTGATGGAAAGCTGATACAAGCCAGCTGATAAGGCTATCTGATATAGGTATATACCAACATGTGGTATGGTATAAAAACTGGGATCAATGAAAATATAGGGCACCTCATTTCTACATAAGCAGAAATTATCTAATCTTAAGAATAAAACTTTTGTAGTCCCTCTGCTAAATTTAGATTTTACCATTCCATCCTGTTCATTATGATATATAGCCACTCTAGATAGTTTACAAACTTTGAAAGGAAAGATTTACTGAGCATTTCAAAATTTGAATATTGACTATTTGATAAATATGGTATCCAACAGGATAAAGATGTAGAATCTGTTTTTCTCTAATGATTTAAATGGATTTGTCTGTAAATTAAGAGACAAATTTAAACAAAGTGTGATTTATCAAAACTGGTCAGAACTGGTTTAAATGCATAAAAAACTAGAGAAAGTATACAAGTTGAAAAACCAAAAATATATAAATGATGTTCTTGTTGTTCAAGACCTTCACCCAGCTCTCATTATAAAGGATAGGAAGATTGGCATATTGATTATCAAGGTTTTTTTTCTTCCCATTTTTGTCTAATGTTCATTTACATGAATATATATCTTTTGCCTTCCAATGAAACATTGACCATGTGTATAAACAATAATTCAGACCAAAAACCACATTTTACAATTTGCTCCACATAATGTTTTTTTTAATTGCCAGCTGATAATGCCATCATCTTGGGATGTAGCATTTTCTTGGCATCCAAATCATCAAAAAGCAATTAGATCTTTGAACTGAATGATAGCTTCTGTTATCTAACTCTTAACACTGCATGAAAATAGAATCACTAAAACAGGCTAATTGACTGTGTATGCAAGTCAAGTTTTGTTTCTGTATTTTTTTTTTTAAAGAATAACATCTAAGATTCAAAATGTCATTATGTTCAATCTAAATACAGTGCTCAAAATTTAAGCAACACATTATCACTTAGCAATTCTCCTTTTATATTAAGGAATCATCAAGATAAAACAGATCTTCGAACCTGTACTGAATTAATTTTATTTTTCAAATTAAAAGAAAAAATGTTTCAGGTTATCCTTATATGTGTGAAAGATATACATAACATTCAGTATTTTTTTTCAAATTTCAATTTATGTATTCAGTGTTCTTCCCAGAAATGTTTTAAGGCGCAAAATTTCAAGGGCACGTATCTCTTTTTTAGAGTGGACTATTGTGACCTGAAGCAAACAGTCATAAATCATGATATGAAATAAAGCACAGTATTAATAAACATGATAAAGAATAAGAATATATATATATATATATGAAATAAATTCATTTTAAACACAAAAAGTATTTATATCACAGTCAATTAAATAAGTCAAAATTTATATATAGTTAATGAAAGAATCCTCCTGTTCTGGGCCTTACAGTGCTGAACAGCTTCAGAAATATTTATTTCTATACTCTCTGTTGCTGTTATCACTTGCTGAAACTTTAGCTTGCCTTGGATTAGGAGAAGCTCTGCTGATACTGATGGTGTATTCTCTTTTTCACTAGAAGTCATTGGTCTGAAAAAACTTTTAATTCGATCATCTGCCTTTTGCTTAACCCCTTTCTTATTTGCGGAGAACATGTTGATTCAGCATTAAAATTGATTATGTTTAATATTTGGTATACAACTTTTTAAAACAAAAAGATTGTAATGAACAGCTGACCAGTTTCTGTAGTTTGACATTACGCTTTCCTGTGTATAATATTGTCAAAACGTTTCTTCTTAGTTGAAAAAATCAAATTTGATATACACACGGATACAGTACAGAAAGGAGCAAACAATGCATTAAATGTTATAAGAGAAATAAAAGGCCTAGGAAAAATCTCAAGAACAAAAGTTCTGCAGATACATAACAGCATGGTGAGATCTATCATTGAATATGCATGCCCAGTTTGGCAGATAACATCAATGGAAAATATGAAAAAACTGGAAGCAATACAAAGAAAAGGATTATCAGTTTGCCTCAGATTATCAGGAACAGCAGGTAGAGAAGCAATGGAAGTAGAGGCAAATATGCAACCAATCGACCTCCGAATGGAAGAAATCTCAGTCCGGGAAATAGCAAAAATCCAATCCAAAAATATAGCCGAACCAATTAAACAACAGCTGGAGGAGTATCTTACCAACAATGATACATATGAACGCCAAGAATCTCCATTTGGTAAGGCTATTAATCAGGCTATGGATATGCTAAAAACAACAAAAGTAGACATAAAACTGATAGAACCAGAGTTTACCTACAAGGCAGGAGTAGACTTTATGCTGATGAGAGCGCCAAGCTACTGGAGCCGATTAGGAAGCTCGAAAAACAGAACTGCAGAACAAACTGCCCAAAGCAAACAAGTAGTACAAGAACTGATAGGAGAAAGCTCAGAGTCAACAGCTATCACATTTACAGATGGCTCCTGTCAGGGAAATCCAGGACCATGTAGAGCAAGAGCAGTTATTTATACTGAGAACCACCAAGGAACTAGCCTAAAAAGACCAGTAGCTAGCAGAGGCTCAATAATCTTAGCGGAACTCGTAGCTATCCTTATGGTCCTAGAACACTGCATTTACACACTTAGAGAACAGTTCACTGAAATAAAGATTCTATCAGATAGCCAGACAGCGGTTGTTATCTTGACTCTCAACTGGAAGTCATCGAACTACAACGACACTATCACAGACATCAAAGAAAGCATTGGGACCCTCCTGAGAGGCGGCATACAAACTACCCTATCTTGGATCCCAGGCCATGCTAATATAGCTGAGAATGAGATAGCGGACCAGTTAGCAAAAGATGCAGCACAGGAGGCCTCAAATCTAAATGACCAGTACAACGTCATAACAATGTCTGATGTGAAAAGTGCAGTCAAGATGTCAACAAAATTAAAATGGCAAAATAGATGGACTAGAAGTGAAACTACATGAATTAGTTCCTATTGTAGGTAAGACCCATCCACTTGATTATCCGAACCCAACTATAGGGAGAATCATGTCGGAATTTAGAACCGGCTACAATAGGCTAAATAAATATTGCCATCAGATAGGCCAATCCGTCACGCCATACTGTGAATGTGGTGAAGAGGAAAACACTGAACACTACCTACTAGACTGTCCGATATACCACCGGGAAAGAGAAGAAATGGAAAGACAGCTGGAGATTCAAAACATCAAAATAGATCTTCAAACCCTGTTAACACCAGCAAGTAAGGAGACATAAGAAAGAACAGCAGATATAACTGGAGAATATGTAAAAAGTTCTGGGCGATTTTAAGATTCATTTATCCCTGAAAACCCCCAATCCTGCGCCTAACAAATTAACCAATAAGTACCGTGTGAATTTACTAACGGAGAAATTAAGTACCAGGATGAAAAAATCCAGCACAAAGAGAACAGTTGTGTCATAATATTGACCTTAGGATCAGGATTAGGATTTTGGCAGGTAGATATAAACGAAACTTGAAAAATTCGTCCAAGCTAACACCAGTGAAAATATTTACTAGTGACATTATACAGATGCTACAGAGATTCCGTACCCGTGTTGATTGTCACATATTTCCCGATGGACGAATTAACGATCGATGTTCAAAAATTATTTTATTTCTAAAATGTGACAGTTGAGAGACGAATTTTACTTGCAAGCAACAATTTTTCATTTTCTAATAAAATAAATCACTCCTCCTTATCTTTAATAAAAGTTTATTTTACTTTTTTGACATACAAATACTCTCATTCATAAATTTCATCATAAATTTCTTTAGTAATGTGTATTCAAATTTATCACATGTATTCATCATGTTCATTGGTCGTGTTTAAATAGATTCTTCTTCTCGACCAATGAAAAAAAATCGTTACTTATATGGTCAAGTGATTGCACGACGATGCGTATAGGTTACAATAAACCATTAGATTTTATGGGCGCAGCCATTTTATGAAGATAACATGGTATTCAGAATTAAGAGTATGGCAAATCCTGATTGGTC